TGTTAAAAAACAAAATAGTTCATAGTCAAAAGAAAGTAAAAAGAAAAAAAAAAGTTCCTGAGGTTTCAACCAACAAATCTGTTAATTAATATTTGATACCAGACAGCTCAGATGTGACTAGAAACATTACCAAACAAAATTGCTTAAACTGAAATTCAACACAGTCAAGTCCTCTCAGCTGTTAAATATAAAGTTTAAATTTAGGTAAATTAGTTATAGAATGCTTTATATTTACTTATTTTTGCTTTACTTTCAAATGTTTAATTTACTTTAAAATTAAAAGTTAAAAAAAAATATTTCAAGAGTAGACAATGCAAGATTAGCAGAGTAGCAAAAATAGATGCTATATATGTATATGATGAATTTCTTTTAGGCTTGTTGATAGAAGAAATTTACTTATTTTATAAGCCCTATCACTAGACTACGATTTATTATTAATTTTTTTTTTTAATTCATGGTCCTTCATAATGTTCTACAGACCCTGCATTCACTTAATGTGACCTCAAGTATTAAACTGTTAAAAAAAGAAAAAAAAAAAAAAATCAAATTTAGAAACTTATTGGTTTTATCCCCCCCCCTTTTCTTTATTTTTATCATCTAAAATAATATGTAATTTTTGTGAAGAAAACTTTAATAATCTGTATAAATTAAGATTTGGTAAAACAAATTATAGTGGAGACATTCTTAAACATCCTTGGCATGGAGGAGGGTGTACAAAACTTTATTAATCTTATTAAAATGGACATATTAGAATTTATATATATATATATATATATATAAGTTGCATAATATATTTTAGATGCATCAAGGGTGGTCATCAGTGATGCACTGTCCTCAACTCCAATTTCGGGTTCTACATTATATTGGCTTAAACAGAAATCCTGCCTTGACTCTAGACGAGTCAGGCTGCCTCCTTGAAAGGGTCATGCTATGCACCCCGACATTGCAATATAACTGAGGCAGGGCAAGGGCAAGAATCATATAATAATTGTACTTATCTCTCCTTTTAATAGTTCACCCGATCGTAACACCCTGCCAATACTTAAATAATGGACAATTCTGTTTTGATTATGTGAAAAGAGAAAAGGTTAATCATATGCTATATGGCTACAATAAAAAAAAAAAAAGAAAAAAGGGAAGTGGAAGTGTTTAACGTCTCCTGCCAATATCAAACTATTCCATTTTGACTGCATGAGAAATCAAAAGATATATCAAAGATGATTTTTGGTTTAAGCAAAAAAAGATGATATAAGTGTGGGAAAAATGGAAAAGTCAATTTCAAATCTTTTCATTTGTACCCCCTTACTTCTTAAAATAACAACCAGCATTTATATTTATGATTGTTATTGCAATACTTTGTTAAAGTTGTTAAGCCCAAATATTTAACGATGTTACAGAGGAATTTTTATGGATATTTTATTGTCGCAGAATTCACCCTCAGCATATTCAATCATTAACTTAAGAATTAAGATTTATCAAAAATTTCAAATACGAAAACCAAGAAATTTTCACTGCTTAAAACTAATAATAAAATAAATCAGTGTAAAGAGGTGAATTGAAACAACGATAAACAAGAAAATAAAATAAAAGAGGCTAACTGATTTTTGATTCTCACTCTTTGGAGCCAATCAAAGACAAGTGTGTAAATTCCATGACAGTTCTTAATTGCTATTTTTCATGTTTTTTGTTTTAAAAACATTGTGCACACAATTTACACATTTTTCCTTGATTAGCTTTGAAGAGTGAAGATTGAAAACCAGTTAGCCTCTTTTCTGTTATTCTTGTTATTTGATTGATATTGTTTTGATTCACCTGTTTACATGGATTTATTTTAGTACCCTTCTTATTCTTCTTCCTGTTTTTTTTGTTATTTGTTTTTTTTTTAATATACAATTTTATTGTGTCCATTTTGCTAGCATTAAGAACATATTCTATTAATTAATCAGTTTTAGACATTAAAAATCTTATTGAAAAGTATGAGATATGATATCCCTACAGAGTGGATACCAATATAAAATAAAATATATTGAGGCTGGTAAATCTACACAAATATCCCTTTACATTCATTTGCTGATTATCTTCTGGACTTGACGATAGAAGTTAAAAATTTATCTATATTATAAGCTCTATCACTAGGCTAGTAAATAATATATGATCTATTATTCATGTACATTTATAACATGCTGCAAGCACTGCATTTGCTTAATCCAGCCTTGAATATCATACTGTTAAAAAAAAAAAAAAAAAAATAAATAAATAAAATAAATAAATAAATATATATATATAAAAAAGTTCTGTCCGTTTTTTGATTAGTCATTGAATGACGTTGAAATATATACGAAATGCATGTAGCAATTGTTTTCAAATTCGGACAGCCGGAAGTAGGAACATCAGATGTTATAAAAAAACACGTGCACCATGCCCGGCCATCAGTTATAAGACGGACAGCTGTGAGAAGGATGGAAGTGTATAGAGATCTCGTTCGGGGCTGTTTGCTTTACGACTTCAAAGTGAGCTTATCAGCAGCTGCATCAAGTCGCCGCATATGTCAAGCGTTTGGGGATAGTGCTGTGGATGAAAGTACTGCAAGGCGTTGGTTTCGAAAGTTCAAGTCGGGAGATTTGTCTCTCCATGATGAGCCTCGCAGTTGACGACCACAGGTCTTGAATGACGGAGTCCTAAAGGCGGCCATTGAAGAGGACAGTAATCTAACGTGTGGTGAACTTGCAAGACAGTTCAACGTTTCCGATGAAACAGTTAGACTTCACCTGCACCGCCTAGGTAAGACGTACAAATTGAGCAATTGGGTTCCGCAAACACTGTCGGAGGTCCACAAGGGACGAGTGGCAGCCTCGCGGATCGCTGCTTTCTCGCCACCGTACCACATCCTTATTCAATCGAGTGCTTACCAGTGATGAAAAGTTCTGTACGAAACTTCCAAGCATACCAGATTTGGTTGTCTCCTGCTGTCCCTCACACCGCAAGACCGATTATGCACCCACGCAAGATTATGCTTTGTGTCTGGTGGACAGGTTGTCAAGTGGTTCATTATGAACTGCTACCAATGGGCCAAATGGTCACTGGAGACCTATACTCGCAGCAATTGAAACCTGTGCAACAGGCATTGCGCCAGAAGGAGCCAGCACTGGTAAATCGCAAAGGTGTGCATTTCCTCCATGACAACGCCAAGCCACATGTCATGCGAGTGGTCAGGGATACCATACAGTAACTTGAGTGGGAGACTGTGCCCTCCACCTTATTCACCTGACCTTGCACCATCCGATTACCACCTCTTCCACTCCCTGGATAATCATCTTCGTGGGAAATCCTTCATCAATGAAGCAGACTTGCACAAAGCCCTCACGGACTTCTTTGCGTCAAAAGCCCTTGAGTTCTACCACAAGGGCATTGAACAGTTGGAGACATGTTGGCAGAAGGTGCTGAATGCAGATTACTTCAAAGACTAAATATAAGTTACACATACTGTGAAGCGTTTTCTTTTTTTCCTTTAAAAACGGACAGAACTTTTTTGGTTATTTATTATATATATATATATATATATATATATATATATATATATATATATATATATATAATTTAGGAACTTATTTGTTCTAAACAAAGCCTTTACCATAATCAGGCACTGACAATTTGTATACCATGACTAGATTAACTTAGTAGCAAAAATTATCAAATGCTATAGGCTTTGCATTTTCAAGCACCCTGCATTAAATTTTTTTAAGCTGTCAGGCGACATTGGCATCTTATGATCTGGCAATGCTCACGTTTACATATCAGGGAAGCTGTGTCTTTCGTTATTCATCATTTCAAGTAAAATCATATCAAGGCTGATAAATCTACACAGTTATCTTGTTAGAATAATTTCTTTCATCTTTTTCTGTTTTTTTTTTTTTTTTTTTTTTTTTTTAGGTTGGGTTTATTTTGTTTTACAGCATATCAACTCCTTATGGGTCATTTAATTTTATTGGGATCATTAGTAATTTCTTTTTATAAATTGCTGACATTTTTACTATCAACAATCTATTACTTTCACAGTGTTTTGACTCCAGTTTGGGGAAGTAACTATTTGCCCATAGCTGGGATCTAAACAGGTGCTACCACCCTGGGTCAAGGTGAACCTGGGAACAGAAGTAATTAAGAGGTGGTTCCATGCGTCTCAAAACCTCCCGATCAGAGTCCTTGCTGCCAGATGTAGTTTATCATCAGACCCGGGACAAATATTTTTTGGGGTTTGTTTATCATGCCAATAGAAATACAATATTTACCTGTTTTATAAGCTCTAGCACAATACTAGTAAATCTTTTATGATTTAATATTTATGTGCAATTTTTATTTTACAGCCTTTTTATAACATATGCTACAGACCCCACACTAGCTTAATCCAGCCCTGATAGAAATGTAGAAGTTGAAAGCAGAGTTATTACCCTTGTTATGATTATTAAAACCATAAGATTATCAATAATCAATTTGTTAAAAATCTGAGCAAAGAATTGATTTTTTTTGTTTAATATGGCCACCTGGAAACCCATTTCATTTATTTGAAAGTCATTTTGAAGAGTATTGGCATGTTTATTTCCAGCAGAGAGGTTTTTGTTAATCATACGAGATTATTTAGAATTTATGTATTTTAATGATAGGAAAAGCACAAAGCCTGATTAAAAACATTCAGAAATTCCTATCTTTAAAACATCACACTGAATAAAAAAATAAAAAAATGGTTAGATTACTTTTAACTTATGTTGGAATAATTTAAATTCAAAGAATCTGAAATGGTTAGAATTCCATTAAAATTTGATTAATTAGCACCAGTATTGACCAATAATTTCCATGTCTGGTGCTGAAAAAAGATGGAGCATCAACAGCAGCAATGAGAAAGGAAGGAGGAGGGGGGGAAATGGCCCAGAGAAGTTCACACACCCAGAAATAGGATATTTGAAAAATTTTCTTTTTTTTTTTTTTTTTTTAAAATACAATTTATG